TCAGGTGGAACCCTGCCTGACAGGTGCCGCCCAGAGAGCTGCCTTTGCGCGACAACCTTTCATAGATGTTGCATACATGGAAAGAGAAGGTGACCTAGAGCTCGAGGCTTTTTTCTAACTCGGGGTTGTAATCATGTCCACCAAGAACAGAGGAAACCGCCGTGTCGACCCCTGTGTGGTACAGCTAGCCTTAATAACTGAATCCATCCGCCATTCAACAAATGGATCCTGACGTCGAGTCGTGGGATACCCGAAATCGAACGATACAGCGTCTGCCCGCCTCCTTTTGCGTACCTCTTTGTTTTGCCTCTTCTGTTGAAATGATGCAGATCCTCGCCTGCCCATCCTACGCGACGCGAGCCTTCAACTCACGCTGGCCAAGTTCGAAGAGGTCGCGAAGGCCAAATCCCTTGTCCCAGCCCTTGCCCTGCTCCCTGGCCTCTTTGATCTTCCAGAAGATGGTGCCCTGCAACGTAAGCATGGTCCTGGAAGGGAGGTAAGAAGTACCCTTACATCGTACGTCTGCCGGAGGTCCTCCTTCGACACACGCCCATCCTTCTGCAGCAGCAGCCATGTCGTGCCAAACTCGAAGATGGCAGCTCCCCACTGCATACCGTTAGCACCCATCAACAAGTTAAATCAGAGGGCGGGCAACTGGACGTACCCCAAACGGATCAGCAGCCAGCCGATTCCCCTTGATCATATGCCACAGCTCGCCAGCCGACAGGGACCCCGCGCCGTGGACATCCCACTTGGAAAACAAGTCCTCAAACATCTGCGGCACAAACCTCCCCTCCTTGTCGTACGTGCCCGAGTCCGAGCCATGCTGCCCTCTAGTCAGTATGGTCCCCGCCAACAACCCCCAACACACAAGCAAGACTGGCTACTCACCTTGGCCTTATGAATCCCGCCCACATACACCCGAAACCACACATCGGGCCACCACGACACGGCCAGCCGCGTGGGATACGAGAAATTCACATTGACAATCACCACCGCGAGCAGCGAGAACAGGACGCTAAACCCCAGGTCCCGGAACCCAACAAAGGTGTCCCACGGGTAGATCTGGCCGTCGCCGTCGCGGTCCCAGAACATGACGTGCTGCTGCAGCACCGTCTGTTTTCTCTGCGTCAGCCAGGCATTCATCATCTCACTCCCTCCAGTCCCAGTCCCAGTCTCAGTCCCTCACCCACGATCACGGATCCCCTGCAAATGGGAAAACAGGGGGGAAGGGAAGACGTACGTAATCCCGCATCCCCTCCGCCCTCGACTCGGGACTGCCCTCGGGCGCGGCAGCCGACACGGCCAGGTTGGCGCGGGCGACGGCGGGCTTGGGGATGTGGGTGTCGGCGTCGGCGGCCTGGCGGCGCTGGGCGGTCGGGGGGCAGCGCGGCGCGGTGTGGTCGAAGGGGAGGGCGTCGTTGCCGTGGGCGGCGGTCGTTGTGCCGGGGCTCAAGCCGGCTGAGGGGGGTGGGGAGGGGGGCATTTTGGGGGTTGGGGGGTTGTGCTGCTGGCGGCTTTTCTTGTTCTTGGGCATGTTGTTGGTGAGTTGTCGGGGCTGTCGGGGGCTCAGTGTGTTTTTCCCTTGTTGCGTCCTTGTAGGTTGATCTCCTTGTCGACAATCATACACCAACTGCTCCGATGACTTGCTTGTTTTTGGTTCCTGAAGGATCGACCACAAGAACCGGAATACAAGGGGAGCTTTGGGTTGGAAAAGGAGTCTGTGACGTCAGATCTACCTCGCCCCCATCTGTTCAGGGGCATCTCGGCCCTCGACGCTTGTAATCACATGCAACACAACGCACGTCAATTCTCTGCTGCCACGCTAACAGTAGCATCACAAAAACGTCGGGTTAAGCTTGTGTGGTTCGTCTGCATGCTGACTTGCCCTGGACACGGATTGGATGACTGTATGATTGCTAAAAACAACGACCATGTCGAACCAAATAGGGGCTGATGAACGCTGACTGACATACGGTTGATTGTCTCAGGATGGCCGATGGATGCTGACTGGCGTGCGGTTAATGATCTCAGGCTGAGCCACCAGCCTGACAAGCAAAAGGGCATTGTCTCCAGCGCCACGGGAGAGAAACCTCAAAAAGTGACTCGGATACCGGGAGTCGAACCCGGGGCTGTTGAGAGAGCAGTCACTCCTGAGAAGTGAGAGTCAACGATGTTACCGCTACACCATACCCGAGACCGGATTTCAATGGTTTCCTGCGTTGTGGGATGGCCGGTCGGAAGCCTGGCTTATGTGTGCGTGAAGAGTTTGTCTGGTGGAGTGGTTGTGGGCCACGAGGGTTGTGCCCTTGGTGTGACCGAAGCTCGCCAAGCGGCCAAAGCCAGTTCCACAAAAGTCTCTGCAACTGCCTTGATCCACAAGCATCAGGCAAGGTGGCCGAGCGGTCCAAGGCGCCACGTTAAGGACATCATCCTTAATCCCACTCGACGAGTTCCGTGGTCTCGAAAGGGGCGTGAGTTCGAATCTCACCCTTGTCAGCTGTACTTTTGCTGTCGAGGGCAGTACTACTCCTTTCTTTTGCATAGGGAACTCGACGTCTCGCTGGCGAGCTCGGTCTGCTGTTTGGCCAAGATTAAGGAGTCCGCCCCTTTTTGTCTGGTTGAAGTGGAACTCCGAGCAAACATGGTATGGCCCTCTTTGCCCGTACGTCTTTGAGTTGGCGCTTTCCAAGTTATCTCCGAAGTTCAGTGAGGCGCCATCAGGGACAGAATAGGAAAGCTGGCGCTTTGTAGGGCCCGAGACTGTGGACGGGAATTGGTACACTGGCGCTCGCCAGCTTCGCGCTCGCCGGCCAATGGGGCTGACCCGCTGAGGTCAGGTATGCATACCGGTGAGCCTTGATGGCAGGCAGAACAAGACGGGTTTCAATAAACCCTTTGCAGAGCCACGAGTAGTGCCTCGGAACGAGATGCTTCGGCAGTCCGTAAACCCTCCAACCAGCCCTTGGTCGCGTTTCTCCCGGGTGAAGTCAACCAAGTGCTTGTCTGAGATGAAACTCCTAGCCCCAGAAGTGGCTGCGCCTCGAATGCGCTATTACTCCGTACCAGTCCCCCCCTTGTTTGTTCATTAGCGCCTGACCTTGGGAGAAAGGGATCTAGCTCAAGGTTCTAATCGTTAGAACGATACCCGGTTGTTCTTTTTTTCTAAAGAAAAATAAAAGGGGAAGAAGGGAGAGAGAGGGGGGTTGGTCGCTTTATTTTTCCTTTTTTTTCTTCCTTTATTCTCTTCCTTTTCTATGAGCTTTAAAGTTATGGATAAATGTTAACAGTTCCGCGCTAACAAACAAGGGTTGAACTGTACGAATTGGTTCTGCGGCGCAGCAGCGCCAACAACCCCTTGCACGTCTTTGCTGGAGCCTGGTTGGGCTTGGACACCGACATGAAGACCGTTGTTAATTTGACTGCACGTGGTCAACGTTAGGGAGCCCTCCAAGTCTACCAAGTAAGCCTGTTTTGGGGATGGTTTCCGCCGTTGTCGTCGCCCTCGCCGCCCTCGCCGTCGCCTTCATCCTCAAAATGGACAATTTCCAAGCCTTAATCGCGTCGGCGCGCGTCACCCTCTTCGCGTCGCGGAACCAGGGCGGCATCGCCTTCGATCCCGCCCGCGACATGCCGAGCCTCGCGGGCAAGGTCATCCTCGTCACCGGCGGCGCCGGCGACCTAGGGAAACAGGTGGCCATCGAATTCGCCCGCCACAAGCCGGCCCGCATTTACATTGCCGACTTGCCGCGCGACGACGGCGGCGCATCAGTCATCAACGCCGTCCGAGACGCCGTCGCCGACGAGCATGCGCCCATCAGCTACTTGGACATCGACCTCTCGTCATTCGAGTCGATCAAAACGGCTGCGGCAAAGTTCCGCGCGGCCGAAGACAGATTGGACATTGCCGTGCTGAACGCCGGCATCATGCGCGTGCGGCCGGGGACGACAGCCGAAGGCTACGAGATTACCTTTGGCATCAACTACCTCGGCCACGCGCTGTTGATGAAGCTGCTGATGCCGACTCTGCTGCGCACCGCCAAACTGCCGGGCGTAGATGTCCGCGTCGTGGCTGTGTCGAGTGAGGGGCATAACTTGGCCCCGAAGGGGGGCATCCTGTTTGACAAGTTGAAGGGGCCTTGCGAGGACATTGTGAGTTGTTTGAGCGAGACTGACGCCCCTGTGAATCTGGGACACAGCTTACTGACGCTGCGCCATAGAAATTCTATCAGCGCTACGGCCAGAGCAAAGTGGCCGTCATCGGCCTCGCTCGGGAGCTGGCCCAGCGGCATCCCCAAATCAAAGTGGTTGCTGTACATCCGGGCCGCATTATTACTGGGATGGCCCTTGGCTTGCGGAAGGAGAGCCTACTGTTCAGGGCCACAGCGCCCATGTCTCCTCTCTTTTGCGTGTCTCCCGCCATTGGCGTGAGAAACCATCTTTGGGCAGCTACGGCGCCCGACGTAGAAAGCGGAAAGTACTACGAGCCTGTCGGCGTTCCGGATAAGGAGACGGCCGTCGCCAATGACCCGAGCTTGTCGAGAAGGTTGTGGGAGTGGACAGAGAAAGAGCTCAACGGCATCGAGTTAGAGTGATGTAGGAGCCACCGTATTCAACCAAGAACGGCGAGTTGCTGGACAGGGCAACGCAACACTGCAATCGATCAGCCTATATTCGTACCACCGCTGGGATGCGGCAGGGCCCCGATAAAATGGAAAGATTCGCAGGCTCGGCAATATCGACCCTGTGATGCGAGTGGCCGTTGGGTGAGACATCAATATGTAACGTTGGCTCAGAATGCGGGGGGCACTTGGCTTGAGGGGAAACAAGATCGAAACGATTAATTACCATGGCAGGCACGGTGCTGTTTTTGGATGCAGGCATCGGCGTGTTCCTGCAGCCGAAGAATCCATGGTTGTGCAACCTCAACTCTGAGCCGCCGTCCTTCAGCATCTTTGGTTACCACTCCAACTACCAGCATCGAGAGCAGACAAGATGCGAGTCAGACGGGCAGCCGCTGCCCTTTTGCTTGCAATCCAAACCAAAATCACCGCGGCAGCCCTTGTATCTTCACCGGGAGAAACAGCCGCAATCCCGTCATGGCACCTGCAGTCTTCCGTCCAGGTCGGGACCAACCTCGAAGGCCTCTCGCGAACCGGACTCGACACGAGGTCCTGGCACCAGGTTAGAACTTCAAAATGTACGCTAATGGGCTGCCTGATCGAAGCCGGCATTTACAAGGAGCACGAGCTCTTCTATTCGGACAACCTGCGCAAAGTCGACGAGACGCAGTTCTCGGCGCCGTGGATCTACCGCCACGAGTTCTCGCTCGAGCCAGGGCCGGGCAAGCACTTCTTTTTGCAGACACACGGCATCTCGTCACGGGCTGACATCTTCTTCAACGGCAAGCAAGTGGCCTCTTCGGCGGAGCAGGCGGGCTCATACGTGGGGCGGAACTACGACATTACCAAACTGGTTGGGAAGCACAATGCTTTGGCCATCCAAGTATACCCGACCAATTACTACTACGACCTCGCTCTCGGCTGGGTGGACTGGAACCCGTGGCCGGCAGACAACGGGACGGGCGTGTGGCGAGATGTCGAGGTCAAGCAGACAGGCGCCGTCATGCTAGAACCGCTGCGGGTCGTGACGCAGCTGGGTCCGACGCTTGGGGATGAGCCAGCACACATCACGCTAAAAGCCCTGGCGCACAACCTCGAGGACTCACCAGTCACCGTTACCGCCGCCGCTCTCATCACCCCAGAATCAGGAGGCAGACCCATCGCCCTCAAGCAAACCTTCACCCTGCAACCCCTCTCCACCACCGACCTCGTCCTCTCAACCACCATCCCCAACCCCCAAATCTGGTGGCCCCGCCAATGGGGCCCCCAACCTCTCTACACCGCCACCCTCACGGTCACCACCCCTCACACAATGGTCCCCTCAGACCACACCACAACCACCTTTGGCCTCCGCACAGTGACAACCGCCCTCAACGCCCACAACGACACAACCTTCCACATCAACTCCCGCCCCTTCCAAGTCCTCGGCGCGGGCTACGCCCCCAACCTCTTCCTCCGCTTCTCTCCCTCCCACTGGGAAACCGAACTCCGGTACGTGCTCGACCTCGGCCTCAACACAGTCCGCCTCGAGGGCAAGAACGAGCATCCGGCTCTCTATTCCATCGCCGACCGCCTCGGCGTCATGCTGCTCCCCGGCTGGGAGTGCTGCGACAAGTGGGAGGCGTGGACGTATAATACTGACTTGGCGGTGAGTCCGGTCCCCGTGTGGGATGATGGCGACTACAGGATTGCGCGGGAGGGGATGGCGCACGAGGCGGGGATGATGCAAACGCACGCGAGCGTGATGGGGTTTCTTGTGGGGAGTGATTACTGGCCTGACGAGCGGGCGACGCAAGGGTATCTGGAGGCGTTTGCGGCCGTGGACTGGCAGACGCCTGTGCTGGGGTCGGCGTCGAAGAGGGGGTTTTCGGAGCAGACGGGCCCGTCCGGGATGAAGATGGAGGGGCCGTATGACTGGGTGCCGCCGGGGTATTGGTGGAATACGGAGCCTGCTGGGGAGCGGTTCGGGGCGGCGTATGGGTTTGGGTCGGAGCTCGGGGCTGGGGTGGGCACGCCTGAGCTGGGGTCGCTGAGGCGGTTTTTGGGGGAGGGGGAGTTGGAGGATTTGTGGAGGAGTCCGAATAGGAGTCTGTTTCACATGTCGAGGGAGACGTCGCAGTTTGAGACGAGGGAGATTTATAATGCTGGGCTGTGGAAGCGGTGGGGGCCGCCGGAGAACCTGGAGGACTATCTGATGAAGGCGCAGCTGATGGATTATGAGGCGACAAGAAGCCAGGTTGAGGCGTACACGGCCATGTGGAACGCCGAGAGACCGGCCACGGGCATGATTTACTGGATGCTGAACAATGCCTGGCCCAGCCTGCACTGGAATCTGTGGGATTACTACATGCGACCGGCGGGAAGCTACTATGGGGCGAAGGCTGGTGCAAGGATGGAGAACGTGGTGTTTGACTACGTCCGGAGGGCGGTGTGGCTGGTGAATCGGTCGCTGGATAAGCACGGGGACAGGAGGGTGGAGGTGGAGGTCATGGATGTGCATGGGAAGGTGTTGTACGAGGACAAGGTGGAGACCACGACGATTCCAAACACCAGCAAGACCATTGCGTCCCTGGAAGACGCACTCGCGGACATTACGGACGTGGTGTTTCTGCGACTGGCCCTTTATGATCGACAGAAGCCAGGAAACGTTCTGAGCCGGAACGTGTATTGGGTTGCCAAGGAGCCGGATGTGCTGGAGTGGCAGAACTCGACCTGGTATGTCACGCCAGTGAGCAGCTACGCCGACTACACTTCCCTGAACAAGCTTCAGCCGGCACATGTCAAGGCTCGGGGGGTTTGGAATATGCATGGTGTGGACATCACGTTGGAGAATAAGTCTGCGGTGCCGGCTTTCTTTGTCACTCTGACCCTGGAGGATAGGGACGGCGGGGATGTGCTGCCGGTGACGTGGGAGGACAACTATGTCACGCTCTGGCCAGGGGAGAGCATGCTTCTGAGAGCGAGGGTTTTGGGTGCGGACAAGGCGCCATGGAAGGTGCTTGTGGCAGGGAAGAACGTTGGCAGGATGGCTGTGGGGTTGGAAAGGGTACATGGGGGTTGACCGGAGTCTGCTTTGAACAGTAGTTTCAGTATATAATACCAGTAGAGGCAATTCATAATGCACCGTTTTAAAAGCGGATATGCTTATTATCAAAGAGTCTTCGCATCGGGCACGCACTGGAGCTCTGCCGTCAATGTTAGGGTGCGAAAAGCTGGACTCAGGGGCTGACTCCTCGGTTTCGTCATTGCCCGACAACACAGATGAATGAACAAATATGTCGATTAACGATGCCCTTGTTTCTGTTGTCTTCACCCACAGTCTATTTCTACATGTAGTTTCATGCTTGTAGGACTTTTGTTGCTTCAAGGAAGTCGTGCTGCAGCCCCTATTTACCCCTGACTCGTTCATAAAAGGGGTTACCTGTTCTGCCCCCAACCTCGCTCCGCCCACGCGCCGAACAAACTCACTTGGAAGAGCATGAATTCTCGTGCTGTGTTGTTGGTGTAGTAAAGCCATAGGTAGAGCAAGCTGGGTCCTGATATTTGGGGCCTCGGGGCCAGCCTCTCCAACAAACCATCTAGCCTGCCCGGCTAGCTCAATCGGTAGAGCGTGAGACTCTTAAGTCCAGGTCCATCTCAAGGTTGTGGGTTCGACCCCCACGTCGGGCTCAATCCCCGGCAGCGATTGCCATTCTTTTGACTTTTTCCCATCCTGAGCCCCCTCACCTATTGTTGCCTTTTCTTTTTGTCTTCTCATCGACCATTATGGGGATCAAGCGGTGCTGGACAAGTGCAGGCCCAGACACTCGGGCTGTTCGATGTGAACTGTGTCAGAATGTGAAGTAGACTGCATGTACATGCATGAATTGACCTGCAGCTGCATGTAGTTCATCACGACGATCCACCAGCACTTCAACGCCAATGTTCCAGGCTGGGAGTAGCCCTGTCTTGAAAGCATGGGCCTTTGTCTGCTGCTTGCCTCGAAGCAAATGTTTGCCTGCTGGGGCATAACGTACATTATAAGCGAGTTGCGTATATAAGCGAGTTGCGCACTCTCCACCATAATACGTCTTCTTTACACCTTACATCAATTTTTTCCACCACTCAATATACCTCCCACTTCAAAAGAAGCGAGGGTAATCTTGGCCCTTGAAGCTATTCGAAATGATGGAAAGTTAAGCCTTCGCGCCGCAGCCAAGC